GAGCAGAGAGGAAGATGCTATTCTAAATATTTTTATGATCAGAGTTAACGAAACTCCTGTCCAACCTGCCCTAAACTGTACTTCTGTTATTACAAGTCCCCACATCTCCAACACCACCATAATCAGGAGTGGCAACAAACCCAATACAAATGACATTTTTGGGAGTTGGGAGTATTTTCTTGATCTTCTTGCAGTTAAAAACTCTAACCCAAGGTCATACAGATTGCTGTGCTTTTCCTGCCTTCTGCTTAAGGTAGAATCTAACACTATTATGTCCTAAAAACAAATTATGAAAGAATATACTTTTATATACAAACAATTCGCTTCCTCCCTCAGATGCACAGAATGGCAAGAAAAGAACCACACATCTCACTTCCTATAATCATCATTTTACTTCACAGATGACAAATAAGCATTACTTCTTTTTCCCCCAAAAGTCACAAGCCTTTCAGACTTGCACAGCAGCAACCCTATAAACTATTATTTTCCATTTAGCTGCTGCAACAGGCAACTTAAGTTTTTTTTTTTCTTTGGGGGGGGTGGGGTGGAGTTTTTTGTTTGGGTTTTTTTTTTCGTCAGAGAACTTCTTTCCAAATACTCTAGCTCTGTTGTGATTTCCATCTTCAATCTGCCTATTCTGTCTCAGAAAAAAAAGGATATATTAGCTAAAGCATCCTATTTTATTTATTACTCAAACATGAATACATTAGGCACCGTAATCAATATTGCAGGTGCAGTTCAAAAGCCATAGACAGTAATAGAAAGTAAAATAAAGAGGAATAAAGACGTCTTAATGGAAACTTCAAATGCCAAAGATCATCCTAAATACATCTTCAAAAAGGCTTGTACAGGCTTCCCTGTGAAATATGGGAGAAGGATAAAATGAGAGGAAGGAAAGGAGCAGAGAATAAACAACATTTTAGATGGCCATTTGGAGTCTGAAGAGGGAGGAAATGGGATGGGGCAAGATGGAAAAGCCTGAGGAAGAAAGGTCTCTATTATTAAAAAGTTTACCTCCTGTTGGAAACATCTCTAAACCGTCTGGCATCAAAACCCCCAGGATTTGCTCACTGCAGAATGTGCCAAAGGAAGATTTCTTTCAGAGCAGACTGGCTGTTTCTAAATTATTGCCTCATCTAGAGCAACAGTCCAGATGCCAAAATATCGAGTGGCTTAAGCTTGCTTGGCCACCAACCTGCCTGAAAAACCGTACTGTTTATGCAGTGTCTCAATGGCCGCCTTCACTCACACAGTTACTATCTGTTCCTGCTTCTGGAAAAAAGCCGCTGAATACACCTCTTCCTACATAGGTCAATACACACAAACAAAATTTTCTGTGCCAATTTAGACTCGTATGGACCATCTGTCTCGATATGTAGTTTCATCAGCTCCGGCAGGTTTCTGTTGAAACACGGGGCAAACAAAAACCCTAACCATTTTGAACCGGGGACCTGGTGCAAGGCCCTTGGCCACAGCCCAGGGAAAAGCGCCTGCAGGGCAGAAAACACTGCCTAACGCATGCCTTCCCCTGGCAGCCCCCTACAACTGCACTCCCATGCTTTCTTGCCCCACCAACCCTTACCAAAGGACTTGGCTGCCCAGGGCCTCACGTACCCAGCCATGTCTCACGTTAAAGAGTTTGCAAGGAAGAAAACTTGCAGCGCACACCCTCCTCTGGCAGCCCCATTGCATCTGTAGCTCTAGCCTTTGTCTCTCCCAATCCTAGTCCTAACCCAAATCCTAACCCTTGGCTCATTCTGCGGTGAAGACACTCAGACATGACCCCAGTGACCAAGTTCACAGAGGAGAAAACATTTGCGGCCTAAACCTTCCTCCAGCCCCACTACGCTGGCCCCATTTCCAACCCCACTATAATTATAGCTCTGGGCTTTGTCACTCTCTCAGCCCTACTAGTGTACATTGACCTATTAATAAACATTTGCTGGTATTTTTCTGTACCACTCAAAAAAAGAAAAAATGTTGTAAAAAAACCCCACTGGTTACCATTCCAAAACCTTGGCAAACCAGTACATGTCAGAGTACCGTCCTGCCTACGGCACTGCAGACAGCATAAAAGTCAGACATCAGGCAATCATCAACAAGACCATAACCAGAAGCAGCTTTTTTTTCCTGCACTTAGCTGCACAGCAAGTCTAGATATCTGCACTGTAGGAATCTATGGACAGGGGAACTATTCCAGCATCTGTTGTCCAACCTCACAGTTATCTCTGAAAATTTTCTATGGCATCACATTACAAAAAACAAACAAAAAAATCCAAACAAAACAAACAAAAATCAACTTCTTGTTCTTCTGGAATCACAAATTTGATAACTTAAAAAAGCATCAGAAATCCT